TAGTTCCTGTCCTTAGCAGTCCAAAGGAATGTTGTTCTATTCTCCACTCCCTCATCACTAAAATCTTGCAGAATGTACTGTGAAATTTCCTGAATGTTAGCTTCATAAATGTTTAATTTTGAACTATCATGTTTCATTTCCTAAAATATCTCCATGTGCATTCAGGTTCAATTTCAAAGAAGTCTTACTTTAAACTGCCTTTTCTTAAAGAACTGAAGTAGAAACCTTTACTTTGCTTTCAAACTTTAATTTCAAGTAATACAAATTTGTGCAACCTCTCTCACCTTTAAGAGATTAATATAGAATTTCCTATAAGAAATGCAGAGAGCATTTATCAAAACTGAGTGGAAGATTTGATGTTGTTGTCATCAAACCTGGAATCCGAAACTATCAAATCTGGAACCCACATCTAGCTGATTTACCATCAAACATGATTACGCTAAAAAATATAGCCTAATTTATGAAAGCTAAATGAGAGAAAAATGTAACAAAAAATGCATGTTTTCTGGACAAACATCAGAACTCTTCATTCTTCAGCTAGTATGTAGCATTAGTGTACTGCTAGATACTTAATTATATTCAATGTGCTTCTTCTTGTGTAGGTCTGTATTTATTATTAGAATACAGACAAACTTTAGCATATGTAAACTTTAAACATAAGTAAGCACTTGAATCTTGATGCTTACTTTCTCAACATAATTTGATAAACATGTATCAAGGTGAATATACAAAACAAAACCATATTTGTGATCCCCTATAACAAAATTCTTTTACAGATAACAGTATGAAATGAAAATTTAACTCATTTGACAATACTGGAAAACTTCTCAGGTGATGATATTCAAAATGGAAACTTCATTGAAAAATTTCATTATTATCTAGAATATGCAAAAACTCCATCGGTAATCATTGTTTAGAGACTTTTTTGAATCAAATTTCGTAAAAAAAGCACCTTACTGTCTCAATATCACAAAGCAGATGAAGTATTTTGATGGCAAGGGTTTGCTTGTGCTAGAAAAAAGCATAAATGTTCTAACATTTGTCTGGGTCAACAACCGAGGAGAGGCCAATAATGGGAAACATTCGTGTGATATAGCCTTGAATCCTCAACAGGTCTATGTATCATGCTCACAGATAAGAAAGAAAAATTATAGTATTTGTTGCACAAGCTTTTGTGTGGTCCATGGTGAAGCCACGTTTTGTATGTCAAAGTGAACAAAATTTAATATTTGGTTCACAGAAAACTCTCTAATTACATAGGAGATGTGTGTGTAATTTTCTGAAGGTTAATGTTTTCTGCACTTCTACAAAGTGTGATGTATTTAGATCTTTTTTTTTCTTTGCACAACCTTGTAATTTATTCCTTGGGAATGCTTGAAAGGGAAGATTTTCTCATGCCTACTTCTCAACAAGACTTAAGAGCAAGTAAAGCCACGTCAGGCGAGATGGTTAGCTCAATTTATCAAGCCATGTTATTGCTTGTAGAGAGTTTTATATTTATTGACAGTTTACCTAGTTATTTTGTCTTTATTTTCATTTCTAGTTGCATTGGTTCCTACCAATCTCCCTTTAGTTCATGTATTAAGCACAGAGTTCTTAACCGAAATCTTTCGGCAGCTATAGCTGACGTCTCGCTATTACTTCTCTTAGGCAACTGTGTTACTTATTTCATTTCTAGTTTGTTAGCCGTAACTTTTAGTGAAAGTTTGAGGGCCTGAATCAAGCTTGTGGGTTCTTTTTGTCTTGTAATTTAATATCTTATTTTTATTTGATCTGTAGTTTCTGATATTCCCTCAAACTGAATAGATTTATTTTTTATACACTATATAACCATTAGTCTGTCAGTTTAAAAAAAAAAAAAAAAAAAAAGGTTATTTTAAACTTCAGACTTGGAGTTATTTTACTGAGAACTTTTTGATCAAACAGTAAGCCATTTGACTGTTATTACAAAGAATCTTTACATTGAACATTTGTGCATGTTTGTGGAAATTTAGAGAGTTTACTTTCATTTTACATATGTATTTGTGAAATAAATTCATTACAGTAATCGTAAGTATCTGTACCATTACAGAGGGTGTTCACACATTTTTGCAAAGATTTATATATGAAAAAAGTTAGAATTTTATTCTTTAATATATTCAGTCTGATAGCTCTTTTGTTGAACTATCATATTATACCTTGATTTCCAAGATAAAAGTCCTTTTCGTAAAACATCAAGGTTGATTTTAATCCACTCCTCCTTCACAATCTTCCAGAGTCCATCCAAATGTTTTGAGATGTTGCTTATAAAGTCCACTTTTAAAATTAAAAATGCACAGCAATCCATAGGAGACGCATTAGAGGACTTGTGTGGAATACATTTAAAGTGAATAGCTTCAATTCTGGTTTCATTTCTCTATTTTTTTTTTTTTTTTTTTTTTTTTTTTTTAATAGAGAGTAGATTTAGAGGTATGTGTTGGAGCCTTATCCTAATGGAACTTAACACAGTGAAGATTGTTTGAATAAAAAGATGGAATTTCTTCTTTAAAAGTAGGTGTTAAAACGCATTTCTGATAGTAATCCAAATCAATTTTGACATTTTTTCCCACTTTCCTTATTTTAAGTTTTCCATTATAAGAGATTCCAGTAATAGCCATAAAACCTTTAGAAAAACTTTCTTGGTTTTCTCCGAATCAACATAATAAGTCTTTTTCTCCTCTTTTCCGGTAGTAAATTAAACTTTTTCTATTTCAATCAGATAAGTATATCCAAGCCTCATCAATTGTAAGTATAAATTTCCAATTTTCACCTGCTAAATAATTTTCATACAGCAGTCTGCTGAGAAACATGTTTCAGTGTTAGGCGATGAACATAGTGTTTTTTGTTCTGATTAGCTTTAAATCAGATTTTATAATTTTGTTTACTGTTCCTACAGACATATTTAAAGATTTTGCAGTTCTTTGGGGGGGGGAGGCTGAAATTTCCTTTAAAACATGAGGTACGACTTTAGATTTAATAAGAGCTGTCTGTACCTTTGTTGGGTATGCATTTTTTTCCTCCCTTTTTCCCAGTCAGATGTAAACTTTAACATTTCTTTCCTTTCATATTAATTATGTCCTTATTTTACATATAGAAATATTAAAACCATGCTTTTAACATCTCTTTTTAATAACTGAATAAGAGTATTTTTTTGGACAGCTCTCAAATATAGATTTCGATCCATTGTTTATTTTTCAGCAACATTTTAAAGAAAATAATATTTTTAATGCTGCAGACAAGAAATAAACCTTATTCCAATTTGATGCTAGTTACATTTATATTTTAAAATTAATATTTAAATTTGTGGAGAAAATCAAAATCATTACAAAAATGTGTGTAATTTTGATTTGGTTGCGTTTAAGAACAACTCAAAATTCAACAGCCATTGCTGAAGAGTTCATTTGGTATGCAGATGGAATATGTGACTGAAACAACATTTATAAATCACAATAGAAGTTGCTAGATTCATTAGTAATATCTTATGTATGTTCAGAATTTGCAAGTCAGTTTGAGAGATAATTTTGAAAATTCTCAATGATGTGAGCATACTGATTACTTAAAAATTCTGTCAAATTTCGCTGTAAATTAAACACTGAAACAATGTAGCACTTTGGGTTGTCATGAATAAAAATGATTCCAATACCATTGAAATTGCAGTCATAATCTTTTTTGTAATGAATTCTTCTATACTGGGCATCTATAAAACTAGTCATTCCAAAGTTTTGATTTAAAATGCTTAACAATCTTTTTAGGTTTATGTTCCAAAGATTTGGTAGAGATTTAGAATTTAAAATCTTTCTGAAGAAGTCTCAGCCTTGAAAAAACTGGATTCAACCTTTGAAAACTGGAACCTTTCACGTCTAATGAATTAATTCAGTTAAAGTTAGATTTGATCGCAGTATGGAAACCTTCATGTTAGTTGTGTGTGAAAATAAAGTTAACTTTCATACAAAAGCCTAAGAAAGATAATAGCTTATTCTAAAATAATTTTTATTTCTCGAATAATAGTTTCTCTGCTATGTGCACTGTTCCGTATCATTTATTTTATGTTTTCAAAAACAACATAGGATTTAAAATTTAAGAAAAAATACATTCAATTTGTTTTTTTAAATGAGTGATTTATTTATTCAAATGAAAATAAAGGAAATGAGAAGAAAATACTTGTTTTTTACCTGAGTACTGCTCGGATATATCGTACAGTAGTTTCAAATTTGTAATGCTTCTGAACACTAGGTAGGAGAAATAAAGTTTGACATTTTTATGCAGCCATATAAATTACATAAAAAGGCAAAATTCTCATTAATTTCAAATGTTAATTATTTTTTAATATAAATGTGGATTAGCTGTTCTTGGAAAATCCATCACTTTCACGAAATCTACCATGTGGCTCCTATCATAATGAAATTTGGCCACCCCTGGCATTATTGAAAATAATGTATTGAATAATTCGTTTCTTACAGCTGATGCAGAAATCTATAGTTTAAAGTAAATGAAAACTGCTATGCATTTCTAAATGTATGATTTATGAAATATTTATCTGGAATCGCTATTTATATTTAAATTGAAACATGAGTGGATAAGTAAAGCAAAAGGCAGGAAATTAGTGTTAAGTTTATTTATTTAAAATAAGTCATCTCTTATAAATTTGTATTTAGATGTTTGAACCTTGCATATTTTAATTCTAGAGCAAGCAATAGTTCTCTCAACATTTACCAAATTTCATGTATTTCTGAATAATTAATAATATTAAAAAATGAATAGTTCCTGGCATTGTTTTTAAATTTTAAGAAAACATGAAATAAATTAGTAACTCTTGGAATAATATTTAAAGTTTGACATTTTTTTTCCCCTTATTTCTTGGCATATATTTTAGTAGTACCGGTTTCCTTAGTTAAGCATATATTTGTAAATGTTTTGCATCAGAATATATTTCTTAATGTCATAAATAAATGTCTTCTAAAATGAATGCTTTATTGTTTCAGATATGGCTACACCTTCGGCTGTAGTTGCTGCAGTTGCTGCTGTTTTGTTATTTATAATTTGTAATTTTTCCCTGCATAAAATTGAAGAAGGTAAGAATTTATTTTTGATCCTTGGTGTATTTTTAAAAATATTAATTTTGGAATTCTTAATTTTTGTATTTTTTTATGTGTGAAAATAATACAAAAGTAAAAGTTATCAAAAAATTTAAAACAGTATTTCTTATACACTTTTTCTCTTTTTTCAGGTCATGTAGGTATATATTACAGGGTAAGTTTCTTCTTCAAATCTCAAAATATATCTTTAAAAAATTCTGTTACTGTGTGTTCTTCAAATCTTAAAATAACTTTAAAAAATTCTGTTACTGCATGTTAATTGAATAATGTAATTTGTTAATAATAAAATAATTCAAACTATTACTAAAATAATTCTAATACTTTACTGTGAACAGGACAAATGTAGCATATTTATATCATGCCATGAACATCTGTGCAGTGATAAGGTGTATAATCTTCAATGCACACAGTGCTAAATTTTTGCAGTTCTCTTGATTCTTTTAAGCAAAAATGTCGGAGAATAGCATAAATTGGGCAATTAAAAATGTTTGCATTGAGGATTATGTATATAAAATATATGGAAGCTTTATGTATCAGCTTTTATGTTCGGCAGCCTGAAAACAGGAAAGTACCATAATTCTGTTATGTTGTTTGTTAATAATTAAAATAATATATTAAAACAGGTTTTATTATTAATAAACTAGACCTTTTAATTTTTGTCCTAATGCATTGTACCCAGCATTTAATAAACTTGGTCCAGTCTTGGTTGAATTTTGGTGCAGACTGGGATCCATTATATATTTATTTATAAAATTACTAAATGAACTTTAAAAAGGCCTTTTTTTTTTTTTTCCCTAAAAGCTGTCACTTAATTTAAGAGGTTTTTATATTTACACTAAATATACGTGTTTGTATAACTGTCCTCTTTTGTTGCAGTTTAGAATTTTTTTAGTTGATATAATATAATAGTATTGTTTCAGTTTTTCATTGTTTCAGAAATGAAATTTATTAATGTTATATTTTCAGAGAGAGATAGGTTATTGCCTCTTATAAATAATGTATTTTATTATGTATTATTGATCAATTCTGTGACATCCAAGAATTTTAGGTACTTGTGCATTAACAAAACCATCTTCATGCAGTTTAGCATTTTTTTTTTTTAAACAGAGCACGAATGATAACTTATTAAGAAAACTATTTATTTAAACATACAAATTATTACATATATATTTTAAACTTTAATGAGGTATTTATCCAAAAAATCAATCGGAATGTGGTAGTTTTACTTTTGTAAGGTTTATACCAAGTTCTTAAGTTATTTAAGTTAATGCTCCTTTCCTATCTATCCTAATGTCAGCTTACTACTAATCCTCTAAATTTCCTACCAGAATGTGTTTTTAGAATCGTGTTTGATGCAAATGTATAAGAGTAGTATTTAAGTCAAAGTTCCACGGACTTTGTGAGAAAGCCTCGGAGTTTCTGACTAGAGCGCATTTGCCTTTTGGCCACATCTCTCTAAGCTGTTACTATGCTTGGCCGTATTACTGGCCCTTGATAGCTTTGCTAGATAATTCGATATTTTGGGTCCAACTACTTACGTTTGCTATAGCTTCAGCTATATCTCTTTAGTTAAGCATTAGTTAAGTTCTTCTTTCTGATTATTTTGACTTCAAGCCCAGGTGGAGGTTTTGCTGCACGCCCTGAGAAAGGGGCCAGCTGTTATTCTTATTATGAGTAATAAAGAGCAATTAACCCTTCTTGATTCTTAAGTGTCTGTTACCGAAATTAAGCATTTAGTTGTTAGATAAAAGTGTGGAACCCCACACTTAGCAATAGCTGTAAAATTTCTTGGCAGTTAATAGATTCAAAGCAATTTTTTCCTAGCAGTCTGTCAACAACATACTATATTTTTGCAGACATTTTTCTGCAGTTTATTCCATTGGTGACAGATTACACCAGCATGTTTTTTTAAATAGAGTTTAAGACAAAAATATCATGATTTGTCTATAAAAATTGTTGTAATTTGAAATGTAACAAAAAGTGCATGTAAGAAAGAAACTGATGCTTACAGTGACTTAAATATTTGTTGATTTTGGCACATTTTAAATATTTGTTGATTTCTGCTAAAATGGCTGTATTAATGTGGAAATACTGATTATTATATAACTTGTTGTAAATCAAAGAACTAGAAAATATACAGTACTTGTCTTCTAAAGCGGCCTTGACAAGAAGGTGGCTCTGACACATTTCTGAATTGATGAGAAACAAAGAGTTACTGATCTGTGCATGTAAAAGAAACTAACATTTACCAATTTGCACATGTGTAAGAACAGTTAATGATCTAAATCCCTTATTTTTTTTTTTTTTTTTCCCGTAACTGCAATTTATCAATAAAGCAGTTTTTCTGGTACTTACGTATTAACGCAACCAGGCCAAAATTCGCATAAATTGCCAAATTTGGCGACCCTACTTACGGCAACCCTACGTGTTATATGTAGTTTTGTAAAAAGAGCATGTGGAGATTCACAAAATTTTCCTGCATTTTCGTGCAAATTTTTGTAATTTATGAGAAAATAGCAGTGTAGATGGATAAAGTCAAGAGTGTGCGCAATGCCATTTTTGTGCAATTCTATGATGTTTTTTTTAAGTAAAAATAAGTCGACGTGTACATGGTTATGCCGAAAACGGTTTTCAATCAGTGCTAAAAGCAATAGCCAAAATATTTCCGCCAAAAAAATAATTCTGCAACTTATTCAAATTCGAAACCGGAAGGGTTTAATTGCTATTTTATATTTTAAAACAAAATAATATAAAAAACTGCATTAAAAATTATCTGTAATTAATAAATGTACATTTTCTTTCTACTCATACTTTTTTACTCAAACTTACAAATCGCGCCAACCTGGTTGCGATAATACGTAAGTACCGTTTTTCTTTGTAAAATATTCATTATGCTTACTATTTTTAGTCTTTCATCAATGAAAAAAGAAGCTAAGAATTATCGGTACTTTTCCGTTTTGCCGGCGCAGGTGATAAGTCGCCAATAATGGTACAACTGATGCCAAACGGAATATCCTCGCTGGTAACCTTTTACGCCTCATTTCAAAACAAGTCACAGCCATTTCTTATCAAATTGATTGTTTCTTTCACTAGCGTACAATTACATAGAATTTTTACCAGAGAGTTCAGTTTTGTGCCCTAAGGCCATTCGAGCTAATTAAGTCGACTAGGGTGCAATCACACCGCTCACCCGAAGGCAAAAATATAGAAAAGGCAAAGTCAAGGGTTAAATTCATCATATCTAATAAGAATGCACTAGCAAAATAAAGCTCTGCGGTTTTACATAATTTCAGAGTAAGCTATTTATACGAATTGAAATAATTCTTGCATTTAACTTGTATTCCAAATTAAGATTTAACTTGAAATTAATGTAGATAATTACTGAGAGAATTAGATTTTTGTAGCGTAGTTTACGTGAGATGAGATCACTTGGGGTCACGTGAATCAGGACGTTTTTACCATGAAAGCATAGTAAATTCTTAAATTAATGACTTTTTACAAATTTATTGTCTTTATTTATTTATTGGCTTTTTATAAAATTTAAACGATATTAAAATGTTTATACCCTCAAAATAAAAGATTCTTAGAACCAACATTTGTTAACATTTTATATGTGTATGCTATGTGTTGTCGCCAATAAAGTCTGCTTGGAGAGATTTGCGCCGGCGAAACGGAAAAGTACCGAATTATCCTGTGTGTTTAATAATAAATATAAGGTACCTATTTTGCAGCATATAATTGTATGCTACATTTGTTTTCACAAATTCTTTCTGTTTGGTTAAATACTTTTTTCTTTAATATATATCTTCTCTTTCAGTTAATGGGAGATTCAAAATAATAAGCGTGGTAAATATTTGCAATGAAAATTCTCTATAATTTTGAAGCAAAATTTTTCACTAGCCAAAGAAGCATGAACTATAAGAGTGTACGAAAAACTGTTGTATTTTTAAATCAAAGGTAGAAGAAATACATATGCGCAGATAGGTAACCATGATTAATCTAAAAATATTGTTTGTTGCCTTCATGTTTATCCTTAGTATCCAGAACATGCACAAGTTGCGTATTACCTATATTAACCACAGGAACTTGTAATATAAATTTTAAATGATGCTATTGACAATGCAGTTAATGTTCATATATGTTGATTAGAAAGTTAGATGTTATATTATTTTTACTTATATTCTTGGCATATCATTAAGTATATTTTATTTATTTTTAATTAGGGTGGTGCTTTATTAAAAGAAACAAGTACACCTGGATTTCATATGATGGTGCCATTTATCACTACATACCGCTCAATTCAGGTATTCTCCCCCTACTTGAAATTGTTTAATGTTAATTAACACAGTCATCTTATTTGTTTACATGTGGTATCTATCACTTCTGCTTTCATCTACTCCTAATAGGATGCAAATTAGTTAAATTATTTAAGCGCAGAGTTTTTGTAGTTTGAGGAAGAGCATTTGGGAACTATCATTAATTAATTATTTTGTTACAATTCCCTTTACTTAAGTACTTTATGAACTTTGTTTTATTAGCCATAGTTGCTTCATGAAATCTAGAGGGCTAATCCAAAGCTTAGTAGGCATGTGTTGCTTTGTATTTAATATTTGATTCAAGTATTTGTTCCAAATTTTCCTCAAGCTGTGAAAGTTGGTTTGTTATATTTTTAAGCTCTATGTAACTGCCCGATTGATATGTTAATAAGAAAACTTATTTTAAACCTTCATATAAATTTATATTTACCATACTTAGGAGTAAGATGGGTTGATATTATTTGTCCATTTTACAGTTATGCAAGTTGACATTTAAACTTCCATGAAAGTCCATAAAGTGTATTCCTTTGTGTTTTGAAATCAAAACAAAATCCAACCATGAAATTATTTTGCTTTAGTTGATAAATTAAAATTAGCATGCATTTAATTAAAATAACCATATTAAAAAAAATAAAGTATTTGATAAGGCTTTAAATTCTAATCCTTAGTTATATATATATATATATATATATATATATATATATACGTGTGTGTGTTAATAGTTATTTGTTATTATTTTCATAATTTTTTTCCAATTTGAGGTTGATTTGTAAAATTTATGACTTGAAGAAACAGAAAAGAAGACAGAAATGAGTAGTTTATTCCTGGTCACATATATCCCCGACTTGAGTGTTAAAGTAATCTTGTTTAATGCTATTTCATTTAGAAATTTCTTTTCAGTGATGATATTCCCATTTGCCTGTGTATTACTTTAGAAGTGTTTAATAAATTGAGATCTACATAATTCATTGATCTTGAGCACAAGGGTAATTAATAGTTTTTAATCTCCAGTCTGCCATGATAAAATATTGGTAATGGATGCTGTGAGAAAAAAAATTTTATCTATGATTTTTTTTTTTTTTTTTTTTTTTTTTTTTTTAACCTTAGGTTTATGTCTGTGAAATAAATATGCAATTAGAGCTATATTTTGGCTTGGATTGGAACTTGTGAATAGATTTTGGCTTTGGATTGAACACTTAATCAGTGACAAGAGTTTTTTAAGATATCTCTCATTTTTTTCTTCATTTAAATTCTTGTAGAAATAAAATTTATCTTCCTTAAGTATTGAATTGTTGAATCTTATTTTTGGGGAAATATAGCATGTTAATAAATGCTTTTGTATTTATTATAAATTGCTAACAGTAATTTGACCATAGGTTCATTTAAAAGATTTAATTCACCAAATGGACAAGCAGTAAAGAAGTCGCTGACTGAACTCTGGTAATTTGGCCTGGGTTTGAACTCGGGTGAACAGGCTGGCTCCATTGACATTTTTGTGGTTTTCTCCATGTGTAAGATATATAAAAACCAGTTTCCCTTGGAAAATCTTCAATGAAGGTATCCCTACCCTTAGGCAGGTAGCCCACGAGTGCCTTGCCATGTTTCAAATAAACCAAAAACATTAACCACTTGCACTACGACTAAACTTCACGGTTGCGGTGCCGTATGCTACAATATAACAAGGGTAAAGTGTCTCATTTACGCCGCTCGACGTCTGTGAGTGCAATCCAGAGCTGTAACTCGAGAAATAAGCAATCCCGTTGTTAGGCAACGTGTGCACCACGTTATTTTCATTTTTGTGATAAATGCCTATCAACGTGGTGTTCATGCTGCTCCCAATTTGAGACAAAAGCATCTCGAAGTGAGTGGCACATCTTTTTAGCGCAAGTGGTTAAAAGATTAGAACTGGGTACTAATAGTGTACACTTGCTTTGAGCTGAAATGTTATTGGTTGATTGCAAAAGCTCATGCCCAATTTGAAACCAAATTAAATATTGTGCATTTTCATGAAAAACAGTATTTATTAATAATGTGCTCTTCATCATTTCTATCTTTCATTGTTTACAAGTTTTCGAATTTCTTCTTTGTAGAAACTACTTGGTATCACTTCAGGGAAAGGTGAGGTAGTTTTTTGACTTCTTGCAGAGGATCAAATTTTTTGTCATTCAGATTATTTTACAGAGAATGAAAGGGGTGAAAATTTGAAGGGGTAAAGTCACAGGAATTGAATATATGCTGGAGGACTTTCCATTTTAACTCTTAAGTTTTTGCAGTGTCTGTTGAGCAGCATGTGATCTAGCATTGTTATGTTGAAAGATGATGCCTTTTCAGTTAGCCAAAGTTAGAGGTTTTGCTCGGATTTCAACACTGAATAGGGTGTATTGCAGCACTTCTCCACATTGGCCACATGGAAGGAGCTTATAAAAAATTATTCATCTGAAATCACACAAGATCCCAATTCAGCATTAGCCGTAGATTCTGTCGAAATTGTCAACATGTAGTCTCTTAGCAATCTCTTTGGTGATAATCTGTGAATTATTCTTAGCTAAATTGCAGATGAAATTATTATCAAAGCCGAAAGATTTCCCAGAGAGAAGTTTTATCAATTAGATAGAAGTCGTCATTTTAAAATCAACTAAACCGCTTTTAAACCGAAGCATAGCTAGCATAGCTAGGGTTGTCAGCTTCTGGGGACAGTTAAAGATTTTGCGCCCCTTTCTGTATTCCAAGAATGGAAAACATTTCATCCTAAAATGTGTAGCATTAATGTGATGCTCTTTGGATGCTGCGTTGGGGGACAGAGATTGCCCCGTTGCCTCCCTATAGTTATGCCACTGCTTTTAAACTGTCCTTAAGAGGAAGAGCATGTCCTATATAAACATTTTGAATATTTTTTGTTGCAGTTCTAATGTTTACTCCTTTTTTAAACTCATCTAATGTAACAGATGAAAATGTAACTTTTCATTTTCTATTTTGAATATTATCCTTGCTAAGAAATTTAAGTATTTTTTTTTTTTTTTAAAGCTTATGTTCATTCACAATGTATTTAAATCACTCAGTTAATAATATGATTATAAAAGAAACATCAGCATCTATGAAAATCAAGTATGAACTTTTTCTGTCACCCAACAATTGATTTTTATTCTAGTGAAATAATAATCTTTTTGTTGGTAAATAAATAAAATAAACTTGGATTTTTTTTAATAGGTCACTCTCCAAACAGATGAAGTAAAAAATGTACCATGTGGTACAAGGTATGAATTAATATTTTATAACTGTGACTGTGAGTGTTCTCTCAAATGCTCTTAAAATTGTAAGAAAATTATTACAGGCCAAGCATGTAAAGCACAGGGTTCGTACAGTCCTTAATTTTGGCGAAAGTCGGCAGGAGGTCCTTAATTTTAATCACCTGAAATTTCTGTCTGTTTTTACGACTGCCATTTTGAATGTGAATTAGCATTTTGGAGAAATATTTTTGGAGTTTCTTATAATGTATCCTATTTTTAATATAAATGGTGTGACACTCAAGTTCCTGAGCAAGAAATGAAACATAAGTATTTCAAAATTATTTCATTTTTTTCTAATGAAGAGCTTATAAACAACTTTTCACTTTTGGGAATGTGAATTCTTTATTAAACGGTTCCAAATTTGGCAGCTTATTAACATTAGACAACATGTTAGACATTGCAACTTGAAAAGTTTAGAAGGATTTGAAGGCAAGATTTATAGACCCACGAATCTAGAATATTCCAAAAAAAATGTCTTCTTGGTATTAACAAATATGGATGATGTATTTAGCAGAAAGTTTGTGGTGAATTTCTTACTTTTTGGAGAATTTTTGGAAGAAAAATTGAAAACACAATATTTAAATGCTTTGCTTCTGATACTAGAAGTCTTTTTATTAGCATGTTTATCTTCCCTTTATTTTCTCTACTTTTCCACTAGACACAAGCATGTAAAATATCAAAAATGCTTCTAATCTTGTCACATGGACAGGCAATTTATAGAAAGGAATTTTTCTGTTAATGAAGAAATTGAAAACTGACAGTTTAAAAGATTTATCTTATATGTCTCATTGCATCATACACAGGTCTGGCACTAGGCATTTTCCCACCTGATGCAATATCTGTGGATCCTAAGTTTTGCTGCTTAGTGCATTCCTAAATTTTAAAAGTTTTGCCATTTCTAAATTTTTGTTCTAAGTATGTTACTAAAATTTAAACATTCTGTCACACTGGCTTTGTACCATATATGTCCCTTACCATATATAATTTCATATTTATTCTGAGTACACATGTTACTAAAAAAGTAAATCTAGCACCTTTTCCTGTACATTCTAAATTCCTTTAGTTTTTTAAATTAACAGAAATATTTTAATTAAATCAAAAAATTCTAAAACAAAGAGGAACCTTATTGAAGAAAGAAACTGAATACATAAAGAAAATTATTCTTCAATATATAATATATATACAGTTATTATTATGTAAATTAAGCAGTTGTTTATAATTTCAGCATTTATTATAATTTACCCTTTCTGTTTTCTCACTAGGATGCAGATCACTTAGATAGTTTTTAAACTAAGGTTTTGGGGTTGTAAGACAGAATTTGTTTCTGGCCTCCACTTGCATGCTGCGTTAGTTCATACCAGCTCTGACAATTTGCAATTATTCATCTTTGCATTATTGTGGCTGATATTTGAATTTGTTATGATGATGAGTTGCGAGTTTGTTATGACGTGTTATTGAGCTAGCTTAGATTAAAACTAAATTGTGTAGTCTTTCACTTCTAGTCCACATTTTTAGTTTTTGAGAATAAAACCACATAAAGTTGGTTTTATTCTCAAATTTGTTTTATAATTATGTGTAATAATAATGCATTCTACTAGTGGATCTATTTTATTTTTAGAATGATATTACGAATGTGAAGTTCAGGCATAGCAAATATCTTTAATTGAATTCATTCAGTTCGCATTTGTTGATGGGTCCTTAATTTTTTTCATTAATGGTCCTTAAAAGTACTTAATTTCCATGTGCAGAAATGTGTACAAGCCCTGAAGCAGGATAATTTTCTAGACATGACAAACAAAATATACAATCTGCTCATCTGTTTAATATTATTGAAAAACCAGTTTCTCCCTAATGTGTCAAATTTCATTAATAACATGGAACTTGGTCTAATAATTTTTCTTATCAAAACAAATCAAATATGCAGTTATTTTGTATAATCAAAATCAAATGTATTCTAAATATTTCATAAGCTGGGCTTGAATGCTTCCATAAATCTATGCATTTATATTTAAAAATCTCTCTCTCTCTTTGTTTTTATTATTATTATTATTGTGATAATGTTGTATTGTTATAAGAAGCATTATCTAAAATAAAGTTCTTTCTCTTTTTTTTTTTTTTTTTTTTTAGGAGTTTCAGAGTTTCATTAATTGTATCCAAAATTTTTACAAATAATACAAATAAATGAATTTTTATTTCTAAAAATTGTGGTACTTATCTGTCAACCATGAAAGTTTATTACTATCGAAAGAAAATTTGATGGAAATCCCGCAAAAACTTGCGCCAGAATTATAAGGGAGCTAACACATCTTTATTTAATAAATAACAAATATTACATATGCTTTGTAGAAACAGTTTTGTCAATTTCTACTATTTTGTTAGGCTGTCCATTTTTACCAGAAGCTGTGTTTAGAATGCTAATGAGTAGAACCTTATCACATGTGGTAGTTAAAATCTGTTATTCTTTTATCGGCTATGTTCAGCTGACTATATCATGTCCATCAATACACACTTTTTTGGTGTAACTCTGAAAATAATTCTTTACTTGCTGTTCTGTAGAAACCAGGTTTCTAAGTTTAATAATTTTTGTCAAAAGACAAGGGGAAAATGCAGCAATAACAGTTAATTTATATTCTTCATAAAAAAACAAAACATGGCTTATCGAGAATAATCAGTGTTGAATCAAATGAAAGTGCAGTAATTATGACTGTCTTGTTGCATCATGCTTATCCATAATTGATGTTTAATCATGCTGCTTGGTAACAATTTCTCTATTGTCAAGATAATACACGAAGTACCAAAATTTTAATAATTTTGGTACTTGTGTATTATTCCTGACAACGGTGAAATCCTGCCCCGAAATCTATAGAATTAAAAGAAGGAAATCGAACTTCTAATTTCTCCCCCCCTCCCTCTCAAATTTATGTATTTATCGTAGTCCTTCACTTGGATGGAAATTTTAAGAAATATTTTTTTTAAAAAAATTGGCTGAAACAAGTCAAAATTTGTCATCTAATAGGATTATATATGTATTCCTCCCCTCGAAACTATATTATATATCGTAGGATCCAACATGGCACCCTTTCCCATTTTAAAAATGAATTACAAGAAAATCTGTATAACACTTTCTAAAAATACAGATAAAGACTTCCCTTGGTCATATATAGATCCCACTTTAGTTCTCCTTATTAGCATGGTTCACAGAATCTGAGGGTCTCAGTGTTACTATCATTGTTATCAGCAAGAGATGTTGATGTTGCAGCACATGTCCATTGCATAATGTGCTTGCACTCTGCCCAGAAATGGCTTTAAATTCAACATTGTGCTCTTACACCACTTCATGTTTAATCATGTTTAATTCGTATGACATCATTGAAATAGCCATTCTTTCTTTATATCTCATGCACAGATGATATTATTTTCCATTTCATTTGTCAAATGTGTATTCTGTGGTCCACTTGAAACTTTTTTAGTTGAATGAGAAGTTTAAAACGGTCTTTATTTTAAGACATCCTTTGGCAAAGTTTGGTGTTAAACCTTGTTGCTTAGCATTACAGTCCACTACTTATGAATATATGTAAAATAAATTAAAGATGATAAATGCATGCATACCACCTTTTTCTAGTATGGTATATTACTCAAATGTATATGCGAAGTTTAGAAGTGAAATCTATATCTCGCAACAATTGATAAGAAAAATGTTTGCCGTAATTATCCCTATGTGCTTATAGTGCCTCAATAATCCCTACATATTGTTGCAAAACAATACTTAAAACACATGCAAATGGTCGCGTCTAAAGTAGTAAGCATGTAGAGGGTAATGTTCGGGATTAATGAAAGTTCATTGGTACTGTTCATTAAAGAAAAGAAAACTCCGCATCAGCAAACATCTTAATCTATCATCTGCTTTGATTTTTTTTTTTTTTTTTTTTTTTTTTTTTTTTTTTTTTTTTTTTTTAATGTAGGAAATACTGGCTTTGGCTGAAGTAAAATCAGAAAGTTCAAGTCATCTAATATGATAAGATTCAGATATAACTGGCAATGTAAAATTCTGTATTTAGTCCTTTTCTATTAAAAATGAATTCTAATTGGTGTATCAGCCTGAAATATATTCTACTTTTTACATGAAAATTCTCGATACTTTTCTGTTAATGGGGCGCCAGTCACCAAATGTGATAGCTTGTTTATAAAATGATTTAGAAATTATTATTTGTAATTAAGGACAGGGGGCGTAGCTAGAGGGGGGCATCTGTCCCCGGGCGCAGAATCCAAGGGGCGCCAAACTGATGTTACGACATTTGAGAATTAAATGTTTTCCATCCTTGGCAAGCAGTAGGGGGCGTGAAATCTTCAGTTGTCCCTGGGCGCTGAAAACCCTAGCTAAGACTCTGATTAAGGATTAACTTGTTCAGAATGACTTTTTATAACGGTGCAAGCATATTTTTATGTACTTTGTTTATAAAATTTTAAAAATTCGATATCTTTGTGTATATGTGAAGAGGGAACACCTAGTATATCTATTTGAAAGAAATTAGTGTTTTGGATAGTAATTATTATTTATTAAAATATACCAGTAGTGTCTTCTATTATAATTTTGCTGAATTAACTGCAATTTTTCCTAACTTGTTGATCACCCAAATCAGTATGTCATATTTTTTGCACAATTTAAATCCATCTTTAACCCTGTCTTAAATCTTCTATTTCATAATATTGTGCACTAGTACTTCAAGTTTCATATGTTTCATGTGTTAAATGTTCGTTACTAATACTGCTACAGAAAAATATCCAATGTTAGGAATTATTTTTTCTGAGCCTGGATTATATATACATAATATAAAGAAATGTTTTGCTGTTCCATTTTTGAGTCATTGAATGTTAACTTTTTGTCAGTTATCAGAATAATCAGTAGTCTGTTAGTTTCTGTATGTACAGTTTCCATGTAGGAGCAATAATATAAAATGGCAATTGTTTTTGGAAACACTTCGAAATTGGAGATTAAAAGTAATTCTTTTTCTCAATCCACAAACAAAATTATTAAACTTTAGAATTAGGAAAACCAGATGCAAAGCAATTTTCTCCTTAATTAGACAAGTAATGGCCCTTTACTTTTTTACTTATCGGGTGCAAGCTACTGGGATTTTCACAACTTTTTAAAAGAACATCGCCTCAACTATCGATAGTTATCATAAGTCTTGAAACATTATTAACATATTTAAAAAATGCAAATTTTAATTATTAAATAATAATAATGAGATGCATAAAAAATAAAATGTATTTTTCACAAAGTCGTCCTCTAATCTCTCAGCGCTGTTCTTCTTCCCATATGCATAGTGATCTTTTTTTTTTTTTGCTTAAAAAAAATCGGAGAATTGTACAAATTTGGCATTGTGCACCTGCAATCTATCAAACTCATTTCATTATTGTTCTCTTAAGAGGATTTGAGTCAAAATATTGCATCCCTTCAGAACTTAAGGCAGTTTTTTTCCATTGTTAGCACATTTTATGAGCGATATTTTAAGATTGAATTAAAGCAAAAATTACCACAATTTGTCCTTAAAAATTATTGGGACTTGGATTATAACAAAAAAGAACACATAAGAAAATGACCGTGTTGCTTGACCGAAGGATAATTGTGAGAATAGTTGCTCTAAAGAATAGATATTAGCATGGTTGCCAGAGTTTATCACATTCTGAACATTTAGCAACTTTTACTAAGGTGATTGTGCTAATATTAAGTACTCGAGTAATTTTAGAGTAGAAGCAGTAAACAAAAAATGTGTTTACCAACAGTAATTAGTTCACTAATCATTTATATCTAGTTTCTAATCTCCCCCCCCCCTTTCCCAGAAGTTAATTCTTAAATTTTCAGTTGTCAAAGAACATTTAATCATTTTCAAGAATGAGGTCAGTTTTCACGTTGAGGCAAAGATCTACCCCACCAAGTAGGTAGAAGTAACTGGTGTGAGATGAACTCTTTTTTTTTTTTTTTAATTAATTATTATTATAGGACATACCTCATTTGCAAGCTAGGTTTCTTATCACCATAAAATCAATTTCATAGGATGGTTATCAGTTTTTATGCATTTCAAATCAGTTCTGCGTAAAATATCCTGATTCATGTGCAAAATTGTGATTTTCAATTTAAAAAAAAAAAAAAAAATTGCTTGAAATATTAAATAATAAAATAGTAAATTTTAATAAATAATTAAATATATTTCTCGTAAAGTTCAATATTGTTTTACAAAAATTAAGTGTGCTTTGAGTGCTATGTTTGTATTCATCCATATGAAAAGCTATTAATTTTCTTTCTTTTACTCATCAGTGGTGGTGTGATGATATATTTTGACCGAATTGAAGTTGTGAATATTCTAAACTCAAACAGTGGTAAGTTTTATGAGTAACTTAACATTTAAAATTTTTGTTTAGGATGTTAGCTTTAATGGCAAAATTTATTTCTTCTTAGTCTCTATTGTGAAATAAATTGCAATTAATTCATAATATTAACAAGGCATCATGAAACTATTAGTTTAAAAAAAAGTTGCCTTTTAATGCAAATGTGCGAAACTTTTTATATTTAACTTATGAAAACATAATGAACATTTTACTTACTAGATTCTTTTATATCTAAGGGGAATGTGTAGAAAGTTAAATTATGTAAATCCATTTTACTCTCAGTACTAAAATCGGTTTTATAAAATTATTTGCATTTAAGAAACTGTATAATTAGTTGTGTATGTATAATATGAACATTGTTGTGAAGAACAAAATGAAGTTATAATAAGCTTGTTTTAAATATTTACCATAGAGTGGCAACAGTAAGATAATCTTTCAAACATTCCCTTCCATAACATAATTATAAACAATTATATATATGTAAGATAAAAAATATGAAAGCAAACTTCTTAATTTAATTCACTATAATCTCTCTTATTTTTATTTCATTTGGGAACTTCATCTCTCTGTCATTAAAATAGCACTATAAATCTGAACTGTGTCATTCAAATTAATCATGCAATTTTATGTAACCCTTAATGCAGATGCCTCTTGACCTATCACCAAAGTGTAAACCAAAACTTAAAACTGAAACTGTTTGAATCTCCCCCTCTTCCTCTGAAAAACTGCGACACACTCTTTTCGCTTAAGTTTGTATCCAGTTAAGACGTTTCGCCTCAATCATGCATGTTCTGGAATGATCTCTTATATCACAATAGTATCCAGATTGTTCTGGAAATGGCACGTTTGGAGTGCCAAGTAAATTGTGCCCACAAAATGGGAATTTAAATAAATAAAAGGAATTAAATCCAGCTCGACTGCTTATTCTTCAAAATGGATTAACGCTCTAGGCGTCAAGTATCTATGCTATTAGTATTTCTGTTTCCACGTCGTAGTGTTCCTGCATCAATGCTTCCAAAATTGTGCTAATATTTCTTATAAAGTATTAATTTAACAAATATTCTATTATCCATATAAAGCTAATTCAAATTTAAAATTTTTATACAAATAAAAAATTAATTATTGCTGCAAACTAATTTGCAATATCATTTAAATTCAGAGAACATTTTATCTTGAATGTGCCAAAAAAGGAACTGTGCTCATTTCTAATAGACATTATTATTAGGGGTTCAGTAAACTCTGTATATTTCCCTATTATGAAAAAGAATATGTAAATCAGTAACCAAACAGAATTTTATAATCAAACTAAACTACATTTATGTATACAAAACCTTCAAAATCTGACTCATCAACATCAGAATTAAATAAACTTCACAAATGACCATCAAGGTTACTTTCATAGCCCTATTTTAAATAATTTCTTTCGACATTGCTATCTTCATTTCACTTTCTTTTTTGATGATTTCCAATTTAATGGACTGATTGCCATGCTTTATTGACCCGCAGAGCAATCTCCTCATACAAAGCTTTTCTCCTCCATCCAGAATTTGTGAAGGATTGGAGGCCATTTCACATCCATTAGTAGCTGTAAAAGTTTTGTAAGGCCAGTTGCTATCACTGAGACATCAGTGCCAATTTTTTTTCTTCAGATTTTACTGTACCCACTAAATAGGATCACATTGAATCCAGAATGATGGACTCATCATTCTGGATTCAAAAGCACCTTTCTTTTCCAATAAATTTCTCTTGAACCAAAATTAACATCACTTTTTTGCACAACCATCCTTTTCCATTGACACAAATAGTGATGCCTTTCAGGAATTTTTTCATTCCTGGTTATTAACACAGAAATAGTGCTTTCTCCTGTAGAAGGGACAGTTGTGCTCAGAGGACAGTCAAAAGTAATGGGCACTTCATCCAAATTAATTATTTGCTCTCCTTTCAAATTTTGGTCTTTAATTTTCTTAGATGTCTACTCGAAAACAATTATCTTTTTTTTAAGCCATTCCTTGGGAAATTTCTGTTTGGCAGTTATGTGGGTCCTAACAGATATTGTCTTTTTTTGCTTCATGAACTTAAAACAACAGTTAGGTCTCCCAACAAAGTTTTTAATGCTCATTTGTTGAGCAGTAATGTTTGCTTCAAGACTAATTTCAACTGTTGACACTGCTAATCCCTTTTCTCTCTGCTATATATCTATTCCTCTAAACTGTCTTCCAAAACAGGCCAAGTGATGATGCCAGTCTGATGAGCGATTTTATTTTTGGGCATTTTCTCAAATTCTTCTTCTTCAGACTTCCACCATTGAATGCATCTCTTATCAACTTGAAATTCTCTAGTAGCATCCCGATTTCGAATTTCTTTTGCTTTCTTCACTGCTGAAAGCTTAAAAGCAGCTATCTAATTTTTCCTTTGAGTAAGAATCATAATAATGTTTTTTTTTTTTTTTTTTTTTTTTTTTTTTTTTTTTTTTTTTTAAATTCAACAAGCACAAACCATAAAGTAAAGCACTGAAATAAGTAAGCACTGTGAGACATGTGCAAGAATGAACTAGGAACTTGGCGAAATAAAAGTTCTTGTGGCCGTTAAAATGAAGATGGTCATTGGAAAACAGAGATTAAACCATGGAGTTCACCATTGCAGTATCTTTACGCCAAGTGCACCCTATCGTAATTAGGCGAGTTTCACACAAGTCTGAACTTCTTGCTCTGCCGTAACGTAACCTGAGTGCTCATATCCGGCTAAAATATTGCAGTAAATTCACGTTTTGGTAATGAATAACTTATAACCTAAATTAGCCAAATTTTAAAGGCAGGGGGAAAATAAAATACCTTCAGATAAGCTGCAGACTTAAATTTTCAACTTTTAAGTGCCTGTAGTGTAAGCCACAATTTAAGCATTAAACTAGTACTAAATTCATTATTTTGGTGTTAGTTCAATGCTTAAATACGCACAAAATGCTAGTTTATCAATTGGAGTCAGTTGACTTTTTTCTGTCTGCTGAAAAATTATATCAATTTAGTCTCTGAAATAATAAGCCTGTTTATTGTAAATCAGCATAATGAGTATTTTAAGAAAATAAAACCACCTTTTTCAAACATCCTGTAGAAAATATGTTCTTTATTCAGGGATCAAATATAATATGGGAAGAGGAATGAAATGTATATTTGTTCATTCAGTCAAAGCTTGTCACAAATCATATACATGTTACTTAACCTAAATTTATGCTATTTTTTTTTTTTTAACTCAGTTTGTTTCATGTATCATAATAAATTTAATGAGCTTTTGCTTAGTCTTTGTTCAGAGGAAAATTATAAATGTCATTGATGAGATAGAGAAATATTTAATTTTAATATGAAGTAATTTCTTTATATAAGATAGTTTCCTCCTGAATTCCATTAATAGTACTTCCTTTAAGTACTATTAATGGATTTTTAGCCTTGTTTAAAAATATGTAAATCAACCATCTCTATTTTTTGCACATTTATATAACTCAACCAAGTCTTGAGGTTAAAACTACTTAACTCTTGCAATCAGTGCTGGTTTCATCTTCTGGTGACTTACTGCGAGTGGCTGCATAGGCTTCCTTGATGTTTTTATTATATGTGTCACATAAATAAAACCACCTTCCATTTTATATTTTTTTTATTAAAATATGTCTTTAACCCTTTGAGGAGTGGTATGTAAAGTAAGTTAAATTGTGGTAAAATTGTGCATGAGCTATAACTTATGGACCCTAAGGCTGCATTCGGATGACGGCATAAAGGGCATAGAGGCGTAATCATAAGGGCATAAAATACGGGAATTCCGTTCACACTTGCGAGAACGGTGTGTAAGCCATGGCCAATGAGAGAAGCTAAATTTGCGCATGCATAGATGTGTCTACAACTTACCGCGCTGTTCTCCTGCTCGATTGATTTCCCGCGTTCGCTCTGCTTGTTTTGTGACAGCGAAATCTTCTGTAGAACACCGCTTCCTTTTAGCTTCGCTCTGATTGGTCGACACTTATCCCAAACTCTGCGTAACGTGGAAACTTTGAACCCTATGCCACGAGCCCTAAACCAGATTTTGTGACGTAGCACAGACTGTTTGTCTTGGCAACTAAGCTCGGCTTTAACTACTTACGCCCTTTACAACCCCGTCTGAATGAAGCTTAAGGACACAAAACTGAGACTTAAAAAAAATCTAGAGCGAAATCCTAAATTTTGAGAGCAGGTATATGTTTTATACCGGTGCTCCTCTAAGACATTTTTTTCCCAGGTAGCTGCCAATTGTTAATTTTTGTTTTTTAATTTTTGCTTACTTTTGATATGCATCTGTAGAGATGGGTGCTTGAATATAGTTATGTAAGTCTGAAGACGAAAACTTTTAAAATTTTAAAAATAATTTTTTTATGCACTTTGATGATGCAAGACAGCTGAGCATACTTATGCAAAATATGGGTAAAAGCTTTTTTACCTGATTTAAATTTGGCATTATTATTTTATAAAAAAAATTGGTAAATATAACACTGCATGTATAAATCGTATCATGATGCAACTGAACTAGTATAATATTACAAGGAGATATAACAGCTGAAAAATTTTTAAAAAATTTAAATTAAACACTAGGACTCGGATGAGAAAGTAAGTTGCATTTTTGAAGTCCTATTTTATGCTTTAGATAATGTGTAAAAAATCAGGGTTCATGCTATGATACCAAGAATCCCTCCCCCCCACACACACACTTTAGATTATCGAGGACCGTAAGGACCCCTTTTTTATTTTTTGTAAGTATAGGTTGTAATATATCTTTTTGTTCAGGAAGAAACATTGTTATACACTTCAAAGCTTTTATTCCGGTTTTCAACCCCTTTGGCCTCCTAGGGTCTTCTTTTCAACTTTTGGATAAATTCTAGTTTGTATCTAAAATGGGTCTTAGAAATATTTTCCCTCATTTCACCAACTGTGAAATTTATTTCAAAAAAACGTATTTGTAACCTAACCCTAAATTTCTCTTGCGTTC